AAATGCTCCTGTGGAGCTGACTATACTGGACGTTGTAAGCGGGCCCTTCGGAAAAGTGGTGCTGAATACTACCCCATTTGGCTTACCAGAGGTGAGCAAAAGAAAACGACTTCATCCATAAGTGAACACCTTGTTGAATTGGGACACTCAGCACCTCGAGATTCATCCTTTAAAATAATTTACAAAGTTAAGTTGAACTACTCCAAAGGTTTACGTTTCCACCACTTATGCATAGCTGAAGCATTAGCTATCCATGAACAAAAACCGAAACTTTGCATTGAAAAACGTTTTGTGAAACCACTTTCTCTACCTTGGCTTTAACAATTCATCTCGTTGATTTTGTCAGTTTTCAGTTCACTTAGGTATACTTCTATTATTACTATTATCACCAATTTTCACTTCACTGACAATACTTAAACCTTATTTCACTCTTTACTATCAATTCATTCCTTAATCATTGATCTGTTGTACACGTTTCAGCTTAATTATCACCGTTTTACAATTCATTGACAGCACTTGTCGCCTATCTCACCACTTGTTATCAATTCGTTCCTCCTTATTCAATGATCCATTTTCTGTCTCTTGCGCTTGTACAAATACCATCCACACCGATTGTATATTTTGCATATTGACTGAGCAACTTTTTAGTTCAATTATCTGTCGCTTTACCGAATATAAATATGAATGTACAGCTTGATAATGAAGTCGTTGAAAAGAAATATTTTTTCACTGATACACGCCTTGTTCTTGTTAATGAATAAATGGATATATTTCGTCAGTTCAAATCAAATTGTTTTTGAAAGCACTCAAATGTACTGAAACATGTACTGAAAACAAGTATCAGTCACATTTATTTAAAGCTTAGTTTTACTATATTCTTCTCCATGATTTTAAGACATTAGGTTATTTTCTTTTAACAATTAGCCAGATTTTGACATTGCATGCCCATATCGATAGCTGTATCTGCTTAAGGTGAAAACAGATCCTTACAATGGTATTCTCGTTGTAAACATATTTGTTCAAATGTAAATTATACATCAAGCTACGTATGGAAAATGCCAAACGTAAGAGAAGTAAGGTCACTTGTTATTTTAAAAATTTAGAATGCTTCAGTTAACGTCCTGTCACTTCAGTTCCCTTGCAATTAGATAACCACTGCAGTTTATTTAAAATAACCAGTAAATCCTCTTGTGCAGGAAATAGACAGCGGTTATGTAAGAACTTTGAATCCTGTTTTTACACTTTGCGAGTAACAGAAGTAACAACCTAATCTTACAACGGTCACAAGTGATTCTGATTTATATTAGTAACTTACAGAGATAATATATTCGAAGCAGTTACGTCCACGACGATCAATAAGTCTTGAGATGTATCTAGACTGAAGCCCTAAGAGCTTCTCCACTTTAGACTGACCAGAAATAAGGTAGGGATGATTAGTTGTATAAGCGTCAGTAGATTTGTTGCAGATGTGATTCCTAACTGCATATTGAAAGCGTGGAGCAGTATCCACCTTTAGATGCCAACTGACTGTTACTTTGACTGGTCACTGTTGCGTATGTAATGCTTAATTGCTGATAGGTTCGCTCTCTACACGTAAAACCTAGCACATGCAAGCTCACTTGCTTGATGGCATTCAGGATCGTTTCACTGTGGTCTAAATAACACTGCTCTCATTCGTTGTTCACTTTGATAGAACTCTGATGTTCCTGGATTTCTTACTTATAGAGATCTTTATTTGATAATTGGTGTCAGATAACAGAATTGATCTTGATGGTCTAAACTTTTAGCAGCTTTTGTCCAATTTACTTTCAACTGTTTGAAGACCATTAGTAACAAGCAAAAATGTGAACATAACATAATGAAGAGCTGTGTGACTAAGAGTAGTATTACCGGGTCGCTACCCACTGATGCTTCATAACTCCCTAGTCATGTTCTACAAGTTTATATCACCCATAGATCCCCAATAAATACCAGATACGACTGGAAAATCTCATGACACTGTCTGAGCTTTCTTGTGCTGTCCACTATTGAATTCAAATCCTTAACTGATCACAACCTTGTGAATGCATATTTCGCACCTGGTTTTGTGATTATTATGTTACTTTACACACCAACTGTCTTGTGTATTAGTAATACTGTCACACTGGTTTGTAGAAAGCATCCCATCAATCTTATTTTGCACTGAGTCTTCGTTCAGTAAATCAACTTTACCAAGTGAAATGTTGTAGTATTCGTTTATGATCCACAGATTAGTGATGTTGCTCAAAAAAATTCAGAACATCATAAATTAAAAAGTTAACGAAGCTGACAAGACGTGCTTTGATCATTAAGCTTAGCATGAATTTAACTTAAACATATATAGGTAATCAAGCTGTTTTTTTAGATACTTCATTTTTGACGGATGCCTTTACACTTTTTGTGATAATGAGGCAAAAACACATCAGTACATCGTATGGCTAGAAAAAGAAGCGTATTCAGCTGCTGAACAGTGTTAAGATATTGAAAACCTCGCCTAGGTGCCTAGTTCAGTAGTTACTAGCCGGTCCTAAGTCGGATGAAGAGGGGAGGTTGGGCATACGGCTAGCAACCCTATACCGTAAAGCCAATCTAACCGCTAAACAAACTTCAAAGGACAAAGAAAATATGAAAAAGAATTAAACTTATTTCTCGCTGGAGTTGGGGAGATGAAATGACGTCGGCTGGTAAAAGCCTTCGGGAAGCCAATTGGCCTATGTGTCTTCTCTCCCTTGATGAAAGCAAAAGTAAACGTGGGGACATGGAATAACCGCACAATGTTTGAAGCTGGCTGACAAGGCTGCCCAGATTGCAAAAGAGATGAGAAGGTATATCATATGAGCGTTAGGAATCTGCGAGAAATCAGCAGATGGAATGGAAATGGACTCTTCAAACTGTCAACTGGAGGTCAACAATCTACTCCGATATTGTCACACAGACGACAACTACGAGCACACCGAGTTTTTGAGTAGCTATCATGATGTCCCCCAAGAGCATCGAAGGCTCTCGTGCAATGGGGACATGACAGTCATATTCAACTCAAAAAGAAGGAAGGTCGCAATCATACAATGCTACTCTTTGCACCTATAAGTAATGCATATCAAGAGGAGAAGAAGAAATTCTACACACAAATGCAATCAGTAATGAAAAAGACTCATCAGTAAACATCACGTGCCAGGTACCCGAGTGGAATCCAAATGGGAAACGATGAGTTGGGCGTCCGAGGCGAGGGTGACACGGAGAAGATCATGTAAGGATGAAATGATAGGTTGTTGGCTGTCATGGAGCTACGTTCAAAAGACTGCAGAGAAGAGAGTGCAATGGGGGCGTGCTACTGAAGTTTTATGTTCCACTAGGAACTCAAAGGGACAAATAATAAAAATAAGATACTGAAACGATATCAGACTCTATTACTACAGGCGAAATCAGACTACAAGTTGATAATTCTAGTTTATACTCGATGCTTATTAACTAACCCATAAACAGCATCGTTGTGTGTAATCCATCTTAGCCTTTGTATTTTCAACATCTCACTACTGTGTACACAAGCACCATGTCTCAATTAAGATGCTGAGTGTTTTTAAGTACATTCCTTTTCACTTCCTCAATATTTTCTGTCAATAATTGGCAATACACGAACTGATTATCTTTCTATTTGGTTTTGAATTCTTGTAAGTCCTTAGCTTTATAAGTGATACAAAAACATCTATCAAAATTAACAGTTCAACAAGCATCTTCTTAATGAGCTATTTGAATATGTGATCACATGTTCACAAGTACATGTTCAAGCATATCAAAATGGCTAAAAAAACTTCATTTTTAGGTTAATGTGGTTAGCCTGACAGGAAAGTGAAGAGCGACGAGGACATTTTTGACCATATACCTTGTTTCAAAGCCAAAAAGACTGAAGATTTCTTACGATGCCATTTGTTGCATACCATGAAAGGTATACACAATAACAGCATCCGGTATCTTCATTAACCCTTTTTCATTTATATTTCACTCGTGAAGACTATATCGTCGTCTCATGACTGTACTGTAAGCATTTTGAAAATTACTTGTAGCCACAAATAATTTTAGATTCCAAAATCTGTACTATTAAACAATCTCCGTACAGATAATTGTCACTATAGACTTTGGGATCAAAATTTCACCTAACAAAATCTAATAAGATGAGCAGTGAGTAAATCGATTGTCAAGAAAATATATTTGTAAAGTTTAAATAAGGGAAAAAAAATAATTTTTTGACATTTCGTGACCTTGCAGAAGCCACTTTTCAGAAAATTAAGTCTGTACAAGTCATCGCCTGTTTAAATGATGAACACATGATGACGTATACTGGTTTTCTTCTCTAAAAAAGCGGCCTCCACAGGGTCACAAAAAGTCAGAAACTTATTGACATACATATGTATATATATTATAGTTAATTGTTAGTCGATATTTCCAGTTATTCACTTCTGACTCCGGTAGATATATCAGATTAAACCATCCTTCCAAAATTACCATTTAGTTTAATTTACTACAACTTCAATGATATATACACACATATGTATTATAAGACTAATAATTTTTCTGGTTTTATGAATTTCAGCTTTGATTTCCCAGCTAAACAAATAAATGAACAAAAGGTTTATTAATTACCTAGACTCAGTTGCATTTAGTAAACTGCACAGTAAATATTTATGGGGCATCATGAAATGAACAAATCTACAGAAATTCAAATGTGAAAAAATTATTTCCCTGTTGTCAACATGATTAAGCGTAATGACCTTGGATTCAGACAAGGTTGAACAACGATACTGGCAAACAGAACAAAATCAACACAAAACGAATCTACTGTTTAAATCCACAATACAAAAAATAGGAAAGAGAAGTTGAATATCAGCAAAACTAATCCATATTCTAAACTATTTCTATGCCAGTTCTTCAGTGTTTTTATATTATCAATTGTAAGTATTAAATGTACAATTGTTGTACGCTTAGAAATGAATGAAGAACAGCAAAACGCAACTCTTGTTGGACTTTTAATCAAGTATATACCAAATCATATCATTGCAAAACATAAAAGCTTATTATTTAGACCAATTAATAAAGACCACGCTTATTTATTTTATGTCCAACCAGATGATGGTCGAATTTATGTGGCGGGGAGGATTGATAGAGAAAAACTATGTCAGTATAAAGACAACAGTTATCATCACCGTCTACCAGTGAATTTACCAGCTGAGCAAAACTTGGAATTTAAAGGTGATAATTCTACTTTCGAACATGAATGTCGGTTAACAATGGGGGTGAGCTTAATGAAGATGACTGGCAATAAAATTGACATCATTGAAGTTATTCGGGTATACATTATTGTAAATGACATTGACGACAACGAGTGCTTCTTTACTCCTGGTGCAAAACAGACCATTAATCTACCAGAGGACATTGAACCTCACACTCACATAAACATACCACTGTATCAACCGCTTGACTTAGACGCTCATCCAGATCATACTATAAATTCAGACAGAATATTTTTATACACAGAAAATATAACTAATGGAAGGCAAACAGAGGTTATTCCTAACTCGCAAATAGTAAATCTGCCTTTTAAACTGATCATATTGCCAACTGGATCGTTGATTAAACCATATTCATTAAGTCTTTATTTAGCTACGGCATTGGACTATGAAAAAGTAACTAGATATAATTTAATTATTGAGGCGAATAGTAAATACGGCTCCAGGAACCAGAGTTGCTTTCTACAACTAATCATAATGATCCGAGACAGAAATGATCATAAACCTTTTTTTGTAACGAATTACTCAGAGATCAACATTTTTGAGAATTTCGATATTTCTTTGCCAATCTACACTTTCAAAGCTACTGATTTGGACTCAGGTGATGTATATAGTAAAATTATATATGAACTGGATTCAGAAGCCCCAGAAATGATCAAATCAACGTTCTATGTAAATCCACTTAATGGTTCTTTATATTTAAAGCATAAATTGAACTATGCAATACGGTCAGTTTACTCCATCCCAATCATTGCACGGAATCCCATCAGCAATCAAGAGAAAGAGTGGAGAGAAACCAACGGTAGTCTGTTGTATACTGATAGTTTAACAACAATTAAAACAAGTATGTACTCTAAGGCTAAACTTGTCGTAAGTGTCATTGATGTCAATGATCATTCACCTACAATTACATTCCAGTCACTTGATGGCAGTTCATATTTACGTATTCTAGAGCATTCTAGTAACTTACCACTAGACTTTGCTATAATTTCTGTTGCTGATGAAGATGATAATTTCAATGGAAAAGTATCATGTTCAGTCACACCAAACTATACTGACAAATTTCAACTAACACCAATAATTACCAACACTAATATAAGAACAGTAAATAGCGAACATGGCACAGTTTTTGTCAATAATGATGGGCGCCATATTTCGAAAAAAGTGAGCACATGGCCACAAACAGAAATTACGATTTATAAACTTTCTACTATGGTTCCATTTGATCGTGAACAGACGGATCATTTTAACTTAACAATCGAATGTCATGACCATGGTAATCCACAATTAGTATCCAGTAAATTAATAAACATTGAAATTACCGATATTAACGATAATAAGCCGATGTTCAACTCCAGTGAGTTACATCTAGCTATAATGGAAGATAGTGATCCACAGAGAAGACAAAAGATTATGAAATCATAAAAATTGTAGCTGTAGATAATGATGCTGGTGTTAACTCTTTGATCCGATATAGTTTGATGGGTGATCAAAAAATCACCGAACACTTTCGTATTGATGACGCAACTGGACTAATTCAGTCTGATGGAAATCTAGATCGAGAGACATTTGATCATTATGAATTTATTGTTATAGCCCAGGACTGCGGCATTCCCTCACTATCAAACTCAATCACTGTTAAAGTCATCATGCGTGATTACAATGATGAACTGCCAACATTTACAAAACAAGTGTATGAATTTCATGTAACTGAAAATAACCAACCAAATCAGTATGTTGGAAGTATCACCTGTTCAGATGGTGATTTGGGCAGTAATGGATTAATTCACTTTCAAATTGAGTCAATGTTTTATCATGGACAAGTACATCACATAAATGATTACCACATTTCACCTGCACAACTATTAAAAACCTCTAATAACGTAGATGACATGTTTATGAATACATCGATTAAGCCGGAATTACCGTTTGAGCTTTTGAGTTATTTTGATGCCCTAAGGAATATATATCTTGTGAAGATATATGCAAAGGATAAAATTGATAGAGAAGAACTACTAGTCATATCTGAATCAATGCCAGTTTCCGCAAGTTCTCCAATTTCACCCAGCTTCTCAGTATCATCTCACTCACTCACTCAAAAAGTGTACAAAGAGAACATGAAACCATCGAAAACATCTGACAACATGGATAATGTGGGATATAAATTCTGGATTGTTGGAGAAGATCAGGGTCAGCCTCAACAGCGTGGTCGTGCACTAGTACACGTTATCGTAGACGACCAGAATGATAATAGACCATATTTCAAACAACCAAAAGACGATACATTTCTAATTGATTTATCATATATGGAAAGAATGAAGTACCCAGTATATAAGGCGAGTACTTATTTTTCAAATTTGCCGCGGTATTATCAGGATGACTAATAAAATAATACTGTTTACATGTATACCTTAATTCTGTTCCATTTCTATTGTAAGATAGGTGGTAATATGCTTGTTACTGAGCTAACATGTATGGAGATTTAACTACATAAGCCCATTGAAAAATTTTTACTTAACAAAATACAATACTCTAAAATTAGTATACCTTTAGCATGTTTATCAGAACACCGATCACAGTAAGTTGCTTAACCCTATGGGTAACAACTGTTTTTATTCTGTTGTCCTCTCAAAAGTTTTATGCTTTTGCCTCTTACCAAATATGCCTATTACTTTGTCTAGGCCTCAGCAAATTAAGGGGCGACTGACTTACAGCACAAGACTGATATACATTTACGTTGTTATTCTGATAGGGATTAGAAGGTAACTAAAATATAAGAAAAGCAAATATAGAGTGCAGCTAACATTAGATCTGGAGAGTCAGTCAGTGAGATGCCGTTCTTAGTCTAAGGTTGTTACTTGTTATTCTTCACCATCAAGATGTATATAAAGACTGTCCACAATCAGTCACTCAGTAACAAGATGAAACTTGTAAGTGTTATGCTACACTTCAAGAAACCATATTTAAAGTCAACAGACAAATGGGCAAAATGTGATGAAAAGTTGAAGAAAGTCATCAAAAAGAAGTGAAGGAAATCAAAAAAAGGTGGAATAATGATTTGGATAGAGTTAAAATGTGTATTCACGTATGCTTTTGTAATCAGTTATATGTCATATCACCTAGAAATTTCTGACTTCCATTTTGATTTTCACGTTTAAATTAGGAGTCTACATATGATTATGTAGCTTTGAGTTAAAAAAATGTAAATATTAATTTAGTAATCTCTGGTCTTTCATAAGCAATCCTCAGTTAGCTGACGTCGTGTGTTTGAGGAAATAATGATAAGGCTTGTTCAGTCCACTTGAGTTGATAGAAGTACGCAACCTTATTCATTGACTTCTTTTCGTCACAGACTCTACACCTAACTTCTACGTTGCCAACATAATGTCTACATGACGTGCAGCCGGTGTTACCAAGCCAACCAGTGTCAAATAACCTAAAAGTTCTAATAAATCCCAATTTTATCAAACACCCATCAGATTCATATAGTAAGGACAAGCAGAAATGATGCACAGTATCCTTAGCGATTAGAAAGCTATCACATATGGTGGTGAAAACCAATTTAGCCTAATACAACCATGGTGAAATCTCTTCTGTCAGTGACTCAGAAAGGTTGGTCTGACTTCCCATATGTGTGAAGTGGTCACGAAATCAAGTGAGGAATCAAAGCAAACAAGCTCTGAACCCGTAACTTGCAGTTTGGTGATGAGAACTGCATCCAGACATCCTTGCATTGTTAATCAAAGCGTTCAAATGACTGCATCTTATAAGTGACTTCACTGAAAAAAGACATTCTTCTGTGTGCTTCGAACAACTATGAATTCTCTTGTGATGAGCTTTTTCCATTCAAAGTAAGATGAAGGGAGTGAAACCCTAATAACCATGCCCATGATGAAGTTATTTTTAAATTGAGTGTTGATGTCCTTGAATAACAAAACTCGACACAGATTACTCATCTGATACTTCTACGTAAGTCGTGGTAAGATCGCATATGTCCTACCACGGTGCCTTTTGTAGCAATAATGTTTTCCCCCAGGCAGCATTCCAGAGTGAAACAGCATCATAAATCCTAGTTACTGATGGATTTGAGTTTAACTATCAAGCCGAAAAATATGGCAGATATCTGGAGTTGGTTAATGTATTTATTTCAAAGCTGGATAGAGAGTGATGATTTAGTCAGAACACTCACTGTCAGGCATACAGGTTGCCTGATATAAAGCTTCAGCTAGGGGTAAAATAATAAGAGAGCCTGTCGATTATTGATACAGTGTTCATCAGAGTGATTCCTGTGTGGTTATCACAACAAGACTCTTCTTTTTTCCTACAGATTGGAGTAATGAGAAGATTTGACCAGCAATAGATGATTAATTCCCGTTCTTCAGTCAGTTCAAACGAAAGAATTGAATCAGCAACCTAAATTACTTTTGATGCTTTGCTATCAGGGTCCTCTTTCACCCTCCGTATCAGGTTACTTGTAACCTTAACTCATACAAGAGTTTAGGTTCCCATCTCATTGTTTCATCGAGAATACAGGTGGATTGTAATAGACCAAAGAACAGCTGATGATCAACTTAGCTGCATTTTGAAGTGTCCTCCTCATCATTACAGTCACTTCCCCTGCGACTGATTAATGGACCAGTCCTATGTTTTTATGGTGTCACAAGCCGACAACTTTTTACACCATTTTTCTGAAAAAGCCTCAATAAATGTAGACTATTAATTGTTACAATCAGTTTTTCCATATATATTAAGCCCTTTTTCCCCACTACATCTCATAATCAGTACATAGACTTTTTATTAACCTAAATATGAGTTGCTTCTACTTTGCACTGTGCTCAAAGCTTCTAGGAGTGTACTGTTATACATCCGATTATGGTACTTTTGTAATATATTGGAGTATGTTAATGTTTTTCTCAGGGGTGAATAATGTTTTTATTGCTACTGTTACAGTAAGTTGGATATGGCATCAGCCCTATTAATTGATAATCCTTGTCATCTACCAATAACCGTCTAGCTAGGTCACCTGTCAAAGAAGCCCTAGTATTCTGACCATTGATCCATGCTTGGAATATCCTTTCAGTTCTTCTACGTCTATAGGAGTACTAATTTAGGTGTGCTTTCATCAACACGTGAGGATTATCCAAAAACGTGTTCCGGAAGCATCGGCAATTATGTTGGTGTTGTGTTCTTGGAGCATGATGGTTTAATCGTGGGGCTTTCATTATCATTCTAGAAAAAATCATCAGCACAAGCTTCCGAAAGATTTAGCAGTTTTCTTCAGGCTCTCTTTATCGTTAACTCTTGACTTCCAAGGCTAAGAGTTAAAAAGCTACTCAGTTGTAGAATCACCGTTGATCATGAAATTTGTAGATAACTGGTTCACTGGTCATCGCATTCAAGGATTCAGAACTTATCATTTCCCCACAAATCTACACTATATCACACTAGTACCGTATCCAACAAATGTAAGTTTCCAGTTTCCATTTCTATATTAAGTACTTTGACATGTAAATGTACCGTCAGATTGTCTGAAACATGCAGTTCAGTTACCTTGCATTTTATAGGTTAACACCATCTCACTAAGTTATTAGAATTCACTAAATGGGCTATCGTTTCCTTGGTTGTATTGTGTTCTCTGAGGTGGGCTGTTTAATAGTGAAGCTTTCATCGTCCTTCTAGACGACATCATCAGCACTAATTTCAGTATCTCTCTCCGTGACCTATTTAGTAGCTTGTCTTGACGAAATGGTTTGTGACTGGTTATTTCCTTTGATTGCTGTGTCATTGACTGTGTAGATTTTCCTTTTGGCTGCCCCTCTGCTTGATCTCTGACCTTTCTGTCGTTTATCGTTTCTCCTATTGGTCGAAAGATGATTAACGACAGAGAGGTCAGAGGTCAAGCAGAGGAACAGCCGAAACGAAAATCTGTGACACAGTAACATACCAGTGACGCAACAATTAAAGGAAACAACTAATCACAGACCACTTTGTCAAGGCAAGCTACTAAATCATTCACGGAAAGATACTGACAGCTCACTTTATACTGAATTTAAGACTGATGATGTCGTGTAGCAAGGCAATGAAAGCTTCACGATTAAACAACCCAGCTCAAAGAAAGCAATACAACCAAGACCATCCACCTGAGCTACAGATATTCTCTGCTACCATTTCCACATTTAATCCTGTTTTGTTATAGGTGTAAGTGAGGCAAGCCCAGAGAGATTTGCAGAATGAAATGATATGATTTCATTTCATGAGTATTCATCAGCTGCATATAACCTTAAATAACATATCTTACGCATGATAAGTGACAAATTATCTATTGTTTGATTGATAATTCCAGATTTGTAAAAATACTGCCAAACCAAACAAAGATTAAGAAAGATAGTTGCTTAACGTTCGAGAAGATAAGTAAGTTCGTGAATATAACGTAAGAATAAGGGTGATCAAAATTAATTAGATTTTAGGGAAGATTTCCGATTACTCGAAGAAATAGTGTACTAATGGAGCGAAGAAAGAATGGTTAAAATCTCTCTGTGTATACAGGGGTAAGGTTTGAAATGTTTGGTTCCAGTGGCTTTAGTATAGAGTAGTTGGTTGATATTCATCATGGACCGACATAAGTTGCAGAAACCTAGGAGAACTTGGTAGCTGTTACGTTCCAATATAAGACCTCTCACCAATACACACCCATGACCTCTCCGGAGATAAAACCAAGGGCCTCCAGGTTCCGCTACCATCACGTTATCACTGAGCCACTCGGTAGGAATCCAGTGGTCAATATTATCTGCTTCTATCAATTAGCGATATAAACCACTGAATTCTGACTCAGTTGCTTAATGGTAACGTACTAGCCGTGGAACCTGAAAGTCCTGGGTTTGATCTCCGGTGAGGTCATGAGAGTGCACTGGTGAGGAGTCTTATATTAAAACTAAACATCTGTCCCATGCTCAAAGTTTTCCAATGTTTGTCCAACTGATGTCAGTCCATGAGGTATATCATCTTAAAATTAATTAATAAATCCTCAAAAACCTCGTTTACTTATAATTTTGAAGGCTTCAGAGATATCGACAAGGTGTCCACTTTCCACTAGGTTTCTAGAAGTTGCTCCACTGATTTTAGAACGTAAACGTCTTAGAATGAATGTATCAAGTGGACTAGATCCTGTTCTTTCGATGCTTCCTATGTACATGTTTATACAAATGCTTTCCAAGTTCACTCCACTTTGTTGAAGCCTTGTATCAAACATTTTAAAACTGACCTTTTTATAAAGAAATAGACTCTGATCATTGTTCATTCACCCAGGTAATTCAATGTTATTTTGGTAATCGCATAC